TTATTTATTCTCATGATTTATTTCAATAAATCATTTCAAAGTTCATATCATAAATAAATTTCTTAATTTATCCTTGATTTGGGTCTGTACTCAGGTTCCCAATCAAGGTCACACAGTAAGTCAACATATTGGGTTAATCTCTATGAGATTTATCCGGATCATGATATTGGATATCAAAACATATTTTATTTTGGCCCAAGGCCCAACAACAATTTATTTTTAATCAAAACAAATTTGATTAATTAATTAATAATTCATTAATAATTCTAGGGTATGTTTCGGGGCGTTGAGGCTCATGTGACCCGGGTTCTAAAGTTGTATTGGTTTGTTGAGCACTTTTAAGCTTAACGGAGCTAGTGTAACTCGAGAGAGTCTCTCGGGAGGCTGGATTAGCCACACGTTGTGGTGAACCAAAATAAAATTTGGTGTGCTCCTTCCTTACGCTCTTTACTTTATCGCTCTCGTTTTTAATTTCTTGCGATTTTGTTTCAAACGCTATTCACCCCCCCCCCCCTCTAGCTTTGGGCCTATATTCTAACAATATTGATAAAAAAAATTAATTGATAATTAGTAAGATTTAATTTAAATATTTTATATTTACAAACACTAAATGTCTGCAATGGGATATCTTTTTATTTAACTACTCCATGTTTTAAAGTAATGTTAATGATAGTGAGCTATGGTACTATAGTAACCACTTTTATTAATGTATTTTTTACCTTCTATAAGTGATTGAGGATAAGAGATTAAATTTTAAAAAAATTGCACGGTGACAATTCATGCTTATAAGAGATTTAGTATTAAAAAAGCAAATTCATTTTATTCACATTCTTTTATGGTTTTGATCAATGATAATTTAGAATGTTTTATTACAAAGTGTTACTTTACAATAGATATGGATGTAAGGACTTCAATCAAGTGTAGACACTCAATTATCTATTTAACAATGTATATTTGAGTTTAAAAAGTTTCTAAAAAATAGACTAAATTTAAAAATAGTTTAAGGTCTAATATCAATTTAGCCATGGTATTCTTACCTTAAAACCTCTATTAAATAATGTTACTTTATGTGAGGAATGGAAAAAAATATTGGTAATATTTATTTTCAAGACATTAAATGTTAAAGACTTATTAATTTAGAAAATTTCTTTATGATGGATATTACAAGTACAGATGAAGAGAGATCATCATCGGGTGCAACGTCACACTCTCGAACACAATTAGGAAAGAATGTACTTTGCGATGTGACAAATGGTATTGTTTAAATTACGAACAAAACATTTAATTTTTTCGAATACTCTTTTTTGTAATTGCCAATGGGTTACTTAGTAAGTAAACTCTCACAAAAGACAAGCCTAATAACCTAAAAAGTTATATGTGAAGTACTTAAATCAAAGAACAATTGTACACCCATGTCAGCACACTTTCACGCACAAAAGGGACAGAAAAATTGATCTATCTTCTATAACACGCGTGGTTAGTTTTTATGAAGGTAATAATACAACAATGGTACATGTGTTCTAACCATATATATTACCACCAATGTAGGCCAATAATGCATAACTTGATATGGTAGATACGGTTAATATACTTTAGTTTTAGATGTCGAGGTAGCAAATTCATCGGGTCTAGAGAACACAAGGGATTCATTTATAGATAATATTCCCTCCATCTGGAAATGATGTTCCCACTTTAACTTTTCTTCATTTTTAAGAAGCATTGACTAAGGGAGTGAATAGACTAAAATGCCCTTGCACATTTCCACTCATCCCTACCCACCAAACACAGCCTCCGCTGGCACCCACCACTGGCCCAACCCCCACCAACGCCAACCCCACCGCCACCGCAGCCCCCACCACTGCCGTCAGCCTCATTATCTCCACTAGCCCAAACGATCATCACCTCAGCCACCGTCACCACCAGTCGTACCATCACTCATAGCCTCCACCAAGACCATTTATGGGAGAATGAAAAAAGAGAGAAACAAGGGGAAGAAAGAGGACAAGGAGGAGAAGAAGAAAAGGACACAGATTTACTGCAGATCTAACCGGCTACCGCCAGTAGCCCCACTATCACCGCCACAGCCCCACCATTGTCGGCAGCCCTACCATCGGCGCTAGCCCCACCTTTGCCGCCATTGTGGTACAGATCTAAAAGAAAGAATAAGGAGAAATAAAAGAAAAAAGAGAGTATGAAGTGCAGACTCACCATCACCATCGTCAGCCGCCACGATCGTCATCACCGACCGCCACCATCGCCGCCATGCGTATGTGTAGATCTAGAAGAAAGATAGAGGAGAAAGAAGAAGGGGAAGATAAAGAAGAATAAAGACTATAGAGAGGAAGAAGAAGAAGATTGAAGAGAGGAAGAAGAAGAAAAGCAGAGATGGAAGAGAAATAGGAGAGAAGAAGAAAAAGAAATTAAAATTGTGGAGATGAGGAAAAGGGGTGGCAGAGAAAAAAGAAGGAAAGAGAAGAGAAAAAAAGAAAGGAAGAAAAGAAAGAAAAGAAGGAAGAGAGGGTAATTTTGAAAGAGTAGAAAAAAAAGGTAGAATGGGAACATCATTCTCGGACGGAAAAAAGAGTAGAACGGGAACATCATTCTCGGACGGAGGGAGTATTACATTTGAAGAAGCTGAAAATAAATGTCCTTTTAGATTATATATATACAACAAAATAAATTGTGTAAAGTGTTAAATGTATGGAAAACATTGATAATATCATATTTTCTTTTTTCACTAGAAATTATCGATTTTGGAGATCCCTCATTTAGGTGTGAATTATGTTGAGCTTTATTATGGCATGTAGAAAGAGCCAAAAAATACAGAGAATCGAAACATCTAGAGTTCTCAAATTCTTGCATGAAAGGAAAAGTTCACCAACCTCTTCTAAACAGATCCCATATTTTCTCTATAATTTATATTAATGAATTGATTTGAGAAGTTCTCATTTCACTAAAAATATAAGAAAGTACAATTGTATAACATAACATATCTAAGAGGGAACAATCATTATCACATAACATATCTATTGCCACAAGGGGGTGGAAAACCAAGATTTGCTCGATTGTATATTTATGATACACAAAACAAGATATTAAGCAGAATGACTCATTTTAGTTATCTCAAACACTTTATTAAGTGGACACTTTCAATAAACGTTTCATTTACATGTTTTTGGAAACACAATGCTTATAGAGAATTATTTGCGTACTAACATAAACAATTTGTTCGCTTTGTATGATACAATGAAGTGAAGAACTTTTTGACTATTGATAGAAGATTAGACGAGAATTTGAAAAATATGGTAGGTGAGCATAATGTTTTAGCACATAGTTTCAAAAGAACTAGAGACTTCATGGATAATGAACTCATTTCTAAAGTGACACTAAGGCTATTGAGAAATAGGACTAGAGACTCGAGAAATTATAATATTCCTACAGTAGATAAGTTGTTGCTCTAATAGTTGGAGATTTTGATTCATCTAATGAAAAAAGGACATCATTGTCACAAAAAAGATGAATTATTATTAAAAAAATCCTTAAGACACACACTGCTTTCATACCTGCACAATACAATTTATAGTTCCCTTTTGGGGAGGATGGATATCAAGAAAACATACCTCTTAGAATCATTATCTGCTTCTCTAAAATGGAATGATAAGATTGTTTTGAATGTTGCGTCCAATGGCATTGGGGTCTTGATATTGCCTGGTGGAAGGATAGCACACTCCAGATTCTCAATCCCTTTTCTCTGAACATGTGTCATCATACAAGGGAGCTGGAAAGTAAAGTTATTCTAACAAGCAAGTCTAATCATATAAGATGAAACATGTATGATAGATAGATTTGCTTTTATGGCATTAGATCGTACACTGAGAGATATCATGATGTTCTCTAATAGTAACTCCCACTACTAGAATTTTGCCTATTAATTAGCTGCAGTAATTTAGTGGGGGGTAATTCCGCTGCTAATTTATGGGGATTAGAGGGAGACTTTCCCCCCTCTATTTGAAATTTTAATTAGTGGGGGTTTTTTCCGCCTCTAATGTCGCGACTAATTGAAGTAAAATGTGCGGGCATATTAGGAAAATAATTAAAAGTTTAAAAAGGCAGTTAAATAAAGTCTAAATTTTACTTTAAAAATAAAATTAAAATAGAGGCGAACTTATCCCCACTAATATCAAATAAGAATAGTGGCGGAGTTATCTCCCGCTAATTATAAAACAAAAAAATAAATTAAATTAAAAAGAGGTGGATTTTTCTCCCACTAATAAAAAGTAAGAAAAGAGGGAGACTTTTCTCCTCTTTATTACTATCTATTTTTTAAAATTTAACCTTATCCCCTCTTTAACTCTAAACCTAAAAAGGAACAGATGATAAGTTGAGGCTGCAGATTAGGGCAAATTATATGGTACATCCAGATGTACCTTCCTTTAGGTACATCCTGGTAAATTTGTAAATTTTGCAAACATTTTATCTAATGTCAAGATCATATATGAGAACTATTATATATGACAATGAGTACCAGCAGATTTGAGAAAAAGTACCAGCACTTATGAGAATTATCACATTTTTATTCAATACAAACATGAATAAACCTGAGTTTTAAATTTTCCATGCTCAGAAAGTATAAATGAGTAGGAACGAATCGAATAGAGGAAGAAGTTGATAATGGTACTGAAATTTTTAATTGTGAAAATTATTTCAGAATGAACATTTCCTTATTTGAGAATGAGTATTGTTTTTTTAAAGAATGAACACTACGCTATTTATTATAATTATATTAGATAAATGTGTAAAAATGAGTATTTCTTTATTTTAAAATGGGTACTATGTTTGCGAGAATGAATCCTACCTATTTGGAAATGAATGTTGAGTACTAACACGATGTAGGAGATACCAACTAGCAGATCAGGCGTCTTCATCGCGACACTGCATGGTCGCCATCTTCCCAGGAGCGTAGCCTCCAATCGCCAATCGTCACCATCTTCAAGGTCGGACGCAGCTTTATAGAGTTGGGGGCCATTCCCCCTACTAATTTTTTGCTGTAAGGTACTCCATATTTATTTTTTGAATTCATGTGTTAAGTTACATTTGGACCCAACTGAAGAAATGGCGCTAATTTGATTTAGTGGCGGTTGTGGTGGAAGTGGTGCTAATTTGATTTGGTGGAGACTACAATTGGTCGCCGGAGCTTGAAGAGAACAGACTGTGGTGGTGCCAATGAAGGTGGATTGCACGGTTGTAGATTCTTTTTTTTAAAATCTGATGAAGTATTCTTCTCAATCCTTACTCATTCCCTATATTTTTTATAAAATTATATGTTCTTTTTTATCTAATTGTCTCTAATTTCTCAAATGGTCAAATCTTAAATCATATGAGTGTTTTCTAATTTTTTGTTTTAATCTTTTGTTTATTAAAGTATGTTTTATTGCGTAAATATTATCAACTATAATTATTTGTTTAGATTGCTATTATGTGATTGTGCCATCATAGGTTATGCATAGTTTATTTGGTAATTTATTATTGATGTTTTGATTAGTTAAGGTAATTAAAGTTTCCGGGCATCAGGTAAAAAAAATTAGAAAAATGATGTGGTGTGCCTAGACCATTTCACCCTGCCTATTTAAAATTATTACTCTTAGATGTTTTCATTTCATCCTATTTCTTGTGTGACTATATGGCATCTCAGGGCTTAGTATCCTCTTGTGGAATGTACTGCTCCAGGTTATTAGGTTGCATCCCAGAATCTACTGAGGCCATTGATCAAGGATCTGATATATCTTCTTGGTTTGATATATCTTCTTTTTTTATGTGTGTGATGAATACCTAAGGCAAACATTTCAAGGTCAGTAGCTAGCATTGAGGTTGAATACTTTGCAAGTCATAAAGTTTTTGCATCACTTGCGTTTTAATGAGTTTCATTGACCCATATAGATTGAACTCCTTACCATGTGATTGAACAAGATACTATTTGAACCTATGTGGTAAGAATGAGAAGGTACATTTCTCTTTAAATTTTGACCTTCAAAGGATGCATCCTTGAAGAAGTAAATTTTAATATTTGATAGTAGTATATCCGCATTTGTTTTAAGTTTTGTACAGGCAAGAGCTCTCGCCCATGTTCTTGGTTGTACCCTACAAAATATTTCTGTTTTTTAATATTTGTACAAAAATGTTATTTTTATTTACTATAGAGTTTTGGAGCAATATAAACGAGTATTTTGTGTATTGAGTCTTAAGTATTTGTAATAATATTTTGTGTGTTGATGTTTGTATATCTCAATAATGTTATTTGTGTTGTTATTTATTGTATAAAAAGCTAGGAAAATTTTTATTTTTTTTTTTTTTAAAATATATGATTAGTGGGGGACATTTCCCCTGGTATATTTTAGGATATTTTAGCAGCGGACGAATCCCCCTCTAACCATTCAGGGGGGAAATAGTTGTACCGGGAGGTGACTTTCACCAGATCCTTCCAATTGTTCCTAGAGCTTCGAGAGAGAAAACTATAGGTGCTACAGTTTATTCCTCAAAATTATGGTCATGTTGTAAACTTTTTACGCTGACCAAGAATATAAAACTGCATTTATCTACGTGCTCTTGCACAGATAAGGACACACAAGCTTTTTTTCTAATTGGATAAACAAAGTCGGATATGGAAAGCTAGGTTAGGTGATTGATGGAGTTGGTGATGTTGAGATTCCTCTTGAATTTTTGAATCTTGACACAAGTTCTCCTATCAAGAGTATAGTAGACTTCACTTATTCAAGCATATTAGAAAATATAAATTTTTTTAAGGATAGAGAACTATTAGCACCAACTCTCGAAGTAGTTGAAATGATAAATGAATTTGTCATGTCCCCCGTTCGCAGTTATGAAAAGTAGTACTTGAGTTCTGATTCTTCATGCAAAATAGATGCATGTGTAGGTATTGATGGTGATTGAATAACAATTGAATTTTGAATGAGGTCAAATGTTCGAGAATCTCAAACCACAAAATAAGTTTGAAAAAAGGGTACGTATTGAGGAACATTGACCAAAACGTCTGAACTATGTACTCGTACAAAATTAATTGTTGAAAAGATGTGAAATAACATTATCGAGTTGGGAAAAAGGTTTACATACTTTGAATGAATTCTAATTAGCTTTATGTTTTGTTATTACCATTAACAAAAGTCAACGTCAAATACTGTCATTTATTAGATTAATTTTAACTAAGTTGGTGTTCACTTATGATCAAATTTATGTTGTTATTTCACAAGGTAAAACAAAGACAACGTTAAAAATATTAGTCCAGATGATAATGGAAAGTTTTGCAATCACACCAAAAATATTGTATACCCCGAAGTCTTTCAAAAAATATGGATTGAAAAAAAGGAATTAAGGTGTTCACTTTTGAATTTATATATAAGAATTCTTATTACCAAATGTTAAATGCTTTTTTACTTTGATTTTAATATCTATATTCTATAGTGTTAAAAAATGCCTTACATATATTTTCATAAATTCATTTGAAAATGTTACATTGAAAGTAGTTTAAAGAATCGACAAAAATCTCATTCGATCTCGTGTGTGGCACGGGTAAAAATACTAGTATATATTAATTAAGGTGATCTAGAGTTCTGAACTTGGTTATACACACGTTTTCCTTTTTACCATCTCACGGAAAGAAATGATTCCTTTTTTTGGGACGAGACTGTTAGATAACAATAATAATAACAATTATGATAGTATTAGTTATAGTAGTCTTGGTATTTTAGTCAGTTTCCTATTCCTATTTATGGTAGATATAGTACTTTAGTGAGTGAATATTCTCTATTTCTAGTTGTGTTAGGAGTCTCTCATATATATACTCAATCATATATGTGATCCATAATTCAAAGAGCAATATTAATATTCTAATATTTTAACATGGTATTGGAGCCAATGCTCTGGGTGACCTAAAAGAGTTCTTTGCTTCCACCGCCGCCGCTGGTAATTCTGGAGACGGCGGCTCCACCTTATTCACCTCAATTTTTTCCCCTTATTTTATCCTCAAATTAAGTTCTCCATTAAAAAAATAAAACAAATCCCGTGTTGAAATCACAAAAAAAAGCGCCAAAGGAGGAGCATCCCTCTTGTCGTCTCAAAATCCCTGAATCTCATTTACCCTCAGGTCAATGTTCATCCTTGAAGGACCCGACCTTGTTCGCGAGGGAGAAGAGAAGGTTCGTTTGATACTGATAGATTACGGATTGCTTCGGATCGTCAGAAGTCCTACGCCGACCTCAAGTGTAGAGAAATCGAATATAATGTTGATGATTGAGTGTTTCTCAAGGTTTTCCCATGGAGGAAGGTGTTGAGGTTTGACAAGAAAGGAAAGCTAAGTCCTAGGTTCATTGGACCGTATCGGGTCATTGAACGAGTAGGACTAATGGCTTACCGATTAGAGTTACCCCCAGAATTACAGAAGATACAGGATGTATTTCATGTGTCTATGCTAAGAAGATATCGATCAAACCCATCACATGTTCTACCTGAGGGAGCAGTTACCCTCAACGAGAGCCTCACGTATGAAGAAGAACCTGTACAAATCCTGGCACGTGAAGTAAAGGAACAAGACAGTCCCCTTTGTCAAGGTGCTTTGGCGAAACCACACAGTGGAAGAAGCAACCTAGGAGACCGAGGAATCCATGAGAGCTCAGTATCCTCAACTCTTCAGTGACCCAACGACCAACGACCAGCGCGGCACCAAGCGGTAAGAGATCCTTTTGGGGGTACTAAGGGTACCCAGAATTTCAAGAAGACCAAGTCCGCGCTGGCTCAATCGTAGGCGGCGAGTAATCGAAGCAAGCCTTCCAGGCATCCAGTATGCAACCTCTGTGGAAGGAATCACCATGGGGACTGCTGGTTCACGCAGAGCTTATGTCTAGGATGCGAGAAGGAGGGACACTTCCGCAAGGACTGTCCTACTAATCCGGGACGTGCCTTTCCCATAGCAGAGGTGCAGACGCAGACGGCTGGGCAGAGGCCAGCGCAGAGTCAGAGGTCTACTGCGGGCTCGAACGCGCCAAGAGGAAGAATTATAACCAGAACCAGAATCGTCAATATGGACATACACCCGCAAGCACCTACGCCATGCAGGGGCGTACTGAAGTGATTCGCGATGTCATCTTGGGTATGTTTTCATTATTCGATACTCCTATGCTTGCACTAATTGACCCAGGATCTATGTTATCTTACATATGTGTTCCTATGCCCGAGAAATCTGATATCCAGAGAGGCGATCTAGGATACCCTATGGTAGTATCTAACCCGTTAGGGCATAACATGTGACTTCATCACTTATACCGTAACTGTCCGTTGATGGCTCAAGGACATCGACTATCTCCGAATCTAATCGGGCTACCATAAAAGGAATTTGACATTATCCTTGGTATGGATTGGTTGACCAAACTTCAAGCAATAATTGATTGTGGGTTGTGCACTGTGCGACTGAAAACCGATGATGGTGACATTGTGGAAGTTAAGGGGGATTTGTTCCCAAAACCTCCAGAGTTTATGTCTTATATGCAAGCAAAGTGGTTATCTGGAAGAAGTGCGAAGCGTTCCTGTGTCACGTTCGCGATACTAGGAAAGAAACCCCCAAGTAGCAGGATATCCCTACAGTGTGTGAATTTTTCGACGTGTTTCCCGACGATCTTATAGGCTTGCCACCGCTGTTAGGTCACAAAATGTTATATTTCGTTCCCTCATTTCTAAGTAGTTTTATAATATTTTATATGCATTTTATACCAAAATCGTTATATTTTCTCACATTTAGCATTTAAGGCTATTGTTTATATTTTATACATAAAATGCATGATTTTGAACATATTTATATTTGAGAATTAATTTGAACGTATTATTTTTCTTGACAGATATGTTTTTTTAGATATATTTTAGAACACAAAAAGTTAAGGAATATTATAAAGTTGGATTTACGGAGCACAATATGAAGAAGAATGAAGATTGGGCCAAGTTCACACATGACCCAAAATACACCCATTATCTCATTAAATAAAAGGAAGAAATAAAAGAAAAAGAGATAAATAAAGAAGATTAGAATGGGAGAAAAAAAGTTAAGTGGTGCAAGAAACGGAAAAATAAAGAGGAGAAATTGATATGAGGAGTCCTTCTCTATTTGCAATGCCGAGTCTTCATCTTCAATTCAATCTCTTCTAATTTAATTATAAAAGGAAACTAAGGCCACAAGAAAAATTATCTTCTTCAACCCCAAATCCAGAGGGAGATCAGAGAGATAAACGGAGGAGATCGGGAAGAGAGCAGGGAGCCGGCCTAGGGTTCGACCCTAGGCCTGGTAGTCCGATGGCATGGATCAGCGGCTAGATTTGTGCGTGGTCCAACAAAGCAGAAAACTCAAACCCAGGGGAGCTTAGTTTTTTTCATTACTCCGTATTTTACTTCTAAATTTGTTTTCTTTTATTAGGACTCTCAAGCTTATTAATGTCCAAAGTTGATAAATTTGATTTCCATATTAAATATGTTCATGTTTATTTTCAATTATCAATTTTTGCTAAATGCTTAAGTTACATTATAAGTGATGAATTGTTTGTGTGTTGATGCTGAATTGTTCAATTTTGTGATTTGTTGATTTATTATTGTCTCTAAAATTATAAAACCTTCTTAGACCGAATTGTTTGATAAAAAAGGATTGAATCTTTGATTTGGTTGTTTTTGTTGAATTAATCAGACTTCGATGGAATTTTAGTTCAACGCTACTGTTAAATCTAAACTCGAAAAGGTGTTTGAAAACGGGTCTTTGTTTAAATTTGGAATAAATCAATTTAGGACGACCGCCTAAACTCTAATTCCAATTGAAAGTTTTAAGATCTTGAGTACGTTTATAGCTGAGATTTTTAAAACACAAGTGTCATCTGGTTAATACTTAATTAGCTCCCACTCGGTTTTTATTAATCAGAGTTTTCAAGCTGGCTATGTTAAATAGATATAGTCTACTGCATAGTTTTTAAGTGATGTTTTCCAAAGAACTTAATGCTCTGTTTTTAATTAAATCTGGGGGCAGGTCCTTGGGTTGTTAAAAATATTAGGGTCTAGAGTTAGGGCAAGTCTTAACATAGGCTATATTAGGGAGAATAGGGAAGAACCGCAGGTGGACCTCTTCTTCATATAACCCTGAGTTTAATTAGCAGTTTAGTTTCAGGATTAAGACATAATTAATTGATTAATCAGATTTGTTCAGTTTATTTTTTATTAAAAACTATAATTATTTTCAAAATGGTTTAAGTTAATTATTATTGTCTACGTTTTATAAAGTTTAAAGATGTGATTGTTTTATGTGTTTGTTTGTGTGTTTGTTTTCTCCGTGAGTTTACTTCTGAGTTCGAGTTGTTGTTGTTGTTCTGGCTCTTATTTCTTATCTGTTATCCGTATCTTTATTTTATTTGTATTTTAACCTTTTTAGAATTATCAGTCAAACCCCCCAATAACTGTTAGTTTAGTTTTATTTGTTAGTTTAGTTAGTTTTTAGTTAATAAAAGTGACAAGTGAACTGATTTTCATAACAATAAAACTATCTTTCCTCGTGGGATCGACCCTTACTTGCCCTATCTATATGTTTTAATGAAAATATTAATTCATAAAGGGGGTTAAGAATTAAGGAAAATAATAAATTAATTTGTAAGTGTTACGACACGCCTAACAACCGCCAAGGGAAGTGGAATTCTTGATTTATTTGGTTCCAGGAACGGGGCCGGTTTATGCAACACCATAGCGCATGGCACCTGCGAAGATGAAGGAGCTGAAGGCTAAGCTGCAAGAATTGTTGGATAAGGGATTTATCAGGCCAAGTGTATCCCCGTGGGGAGCGCCAGTTCTTTTTGTCAAGAAGAAGGATGGATCCATGAGATTGTGCATTGACTACAGGCAGTTGAATAAAGCCATAGTGAAGAACCGCTACCCATTACCGCGGATTGATGTTTTGTTTGATAAGCTCAGACGAGCTACGATGTTCTCAAAAATAGACCTTCGTTCTGGTTACTATCAGATCCTAGTGAAGAAAGAAGACATACCAAAGACGCCCTTTCGAACACATTATGGGCATTATGAATTCAACAGTGATGCCGTTTGGGCTGACGAATGCCCCAACGAGTTTCATGGACTTGATGAACAGTGTCTTCCGTCCCTATCTAGACCAGTTTGTGGTGGTATTCATCGACGATATTCTGGTGTACTCTAGGACACCAGAGGAGCATGCAAAACACTTGCAGACAATACTTAGTGTGCTAAGAGAGCACAAGCTCTATGCCAAGCTGTCAAAATGCGAATTTTGGCTCACCGAAGTCACGTTCCTAGGGCATGTGATTTCCAATGAGGGCATCAAGGTGTATCCTAGTAAGATATCAGCTATAACAGAGTGGAAGACTCCGAGGAATGCGCAGGAGGTGAGGGGATTCCTCGGCTTAGCTGGTTACCACCGGAGCTTCATGGAGGGCTTCTCATCCATAGCGTCCTCGTTGAACAGAAAACTGAAGAAGGATGTGAAATTCGCGTGGACCGACGCATGTCAAAAGAGTTTTGAGAAACTCAAGAAATGTTTGGCCGAGACACCGGTGATGGTAAAGCCAGTGCCTGGCAAGGACTATACCGTTTTCAGTGATGCATCTCATAGTGGGCTTGGTTGTGTGCTTATGCAGGAGGGTAAGGTACTGGCCTACGCCTCGTGACAGTTGAAACCTCACGAGGGTAACTACCGTATGCATGATATGGAGTTAGCAGCGGCGGTATTTACATTGAAGATTTGGCGGCATTACTTATTTGGCGAGACTACCTACATCCACACAGATCACACGAGCTTGAAGTATTTGCTAACCCAGAAAGAACTAAATTTGAGACAACGAAGATGGTTGCAATTGATCAAGGACTATGATTGCTACATCGATTATCACCCAGGCAAGGCCAACATGGTGGCTGATGCCTTAAGTCGAAAGACTATGGCTGAACTACAACTTCAGCCGATGCTGGATAGTGAGATCCGTGCGGCCTAGGCCACGAATGACTTTTGTGTGAAGATGTGTGAGCTTTTCTCTAAGGGGGAGAGACAAGACTTCACCATTGATGACAGTGGAGTTTTTTTCTATTGAGATCACTTGGTGGTACCGAACGGTGAACGACTGTTATGAGAAGCTCATGAGATCGTGTACACCATGCACCCCGACAACAATAAGATGTACCAAGATCTCAAGAAAACTTACTGGTGGCTGACAATGAAACGTAAAATTTCAAAATTTACGTCTAGATGCTTGACTTGTCAGCAAGTCAAGGCAAAACATCAAGTGCCGAGTGGATTGCTAATCCCACTGGTTGTTCCTGAGTGAAAATGAGAGAAGATCACGATGGACTTCGTGATAGGCTTATCCCTGCCGAGCAAGAAGGATGATGCAGTATGGGTCATAGTGGACCGATTGACTAAGTCAGCTCACTTCCTTCTTATCCGACGAGACTTTTCGCTACAAAAGTTAGCTAAACTCTACATTCGAGAAATTGTGAGACTACATGGAGTTCCTATGTCTATCATCTCAGATCGCGACCCGCGATTCACATCGCAATTCTGGAAGAGTCTTCAGAAGGCTCTAGGCACTAAGCTCAATTTCAGTACAACGTTTCACACTCAGACGGATGGCCAGTTTGAGAGAACGATTCAGATTTTGGAGGACATGATGAGAGCTTGTGTCATTGATTTTGGTGATGGTTGGGAACGATACCTTCCGTTGATGGAGTTCGCCTACGACAACAGCTACCAGGCTAGCATTCACATGGCACCGTACGAGGTGCTGTACGGAAGACGTTGCAGAACTCCGTTCTGTTGGACCGAGCTGAGTGAACCTAAGCTTGAAGAACCAGAACTTGTTCGAGAGGTAGAAGAAAAGGTTTGGTTGATACGCGATAGATTACGGATTGCTTCGGATCATCGGAAGTCCTACGCCAACCTCAAGCATAGAGAAATCAAATATAATGTTGATGATTGGGTGTTTCTCAAGGTTTCCCCATGCAAGAAGGTGTTAAGGTTTGAAAAGAAAGGAAAGCTAAGTCCTAGGTTCATTGGACCATATCGGGTGATTGAACGAGTAGAACCAGTGGCTTACCGATTAGAGTTACCCCCAGAATTACAGAAGATACACGATGTGTTTCATGTGTCTATGCTAAGAAGATATCGATCAGACTTGTCACATGTTCTACCCGAGGGAGCAGTCAACCTCAACGAGTGCCTCACTTATGAAGAAGAACCCGTACAAATCCTGGCACGTGAATTAAAGGAGCTGAGGAACAAGACGGTCCCCGTGTCAAGGTGCTTTGGAGAAACCACGTGGTGGAAGAAGCAGCCAGGGAGACTGAGGAATCCATGAGAGCTCAGTATCCTCAACTCTTTAGTGACCAATGACTCAGGTAATTTCGAGGATGAAACTCTTTTAAGGGGGGGGGTGAAATGTAACGCCCCGAAACCCGGCCTATCAGAATTAATTAATTAAAAATAATTAATTAGTTACTGAAACATACTCGGTGGAAATTATAAATATTCTTCATTTGACAGTAAGGTTTATACCATTGTGTAGGATTCGACGGATCAAATCCAACGGTGTGATCAGATTTGGATTTGGAGACCTTGGGCCCGGAAAGTACGTTTTGGGCCAGGTACGTTAAGTTACTACAGAGCCCAAAACCTCAAAAGTATAAATATATACCTTACACGTTTGAACCCTTACACCCCATATTATTATTACGTAACTCCCTCCCTTCTCTCGTGTCTCCTTGCTGATCGTAGAGCAGCAGCGGTGCAAGAAGAACAAGAAGAAAAAGAAAAAGAAGGAAGAAGGAAAGAGGAAGAGTTCGACGTTGTCGTACCCCGCTCGTTGGTATTAGTTCGTTGTTAGTAACGTCAAATTCAAGGTGAGTACGTGGACATCTAACGTATGGTAATAAATGTAGGTTTGAATCTTACGTTCGTAGAATCGTTACGGTTGATCTATTTGGACTTTACGTGGAATAAGCCTTGTTTATGTCGTTTATGATTCGAGAAGCATGATTTGATTTAGGATTGTTTAAGAGCTTGTTAGATAATGTTTGATTATTGATTTAGATTCTGTTGAAGCCTTGTTTTCCTTAAATTGATGTTGTTTGATGGGTAAAAACGGAGCTGGTGCAAGTATGGTGTTCGCCGCGACAGACGTTACCTAGGAACCGATCTGGCGGTAGGCCCTACCGCCAACTCGGTAGAGGCTACCATGACAGCCTACCGGAAGGAGCTTTCCAGTTACACGGTCGGTACCCACGTACCGTGGGACGGTACCCTGGTACCGTGGGGTCGGTAACCCCTAACGCCAAGAGTACCGTGAGGTACTTGAACCAGTCTGAAATCTCTGTTTGCGT